GACAGAAGATGATTATCCATGTGAGTCACGTACCTGGTTGAATAGTTCAGTCCATCTCCTTAGAGCGAGGTGGGATCCAGCCGACGACATGTGGCAGGAACCGTCCAGAGTCAACCAGATACAGCCGCTCCAGAGAACAGGCAGGGATCCGAACCGGTTTAGAACAGGACGGTTCTGAGATCCAGGAGTCCAAAGCCCGGTGAGGGGCTGCGATCAGAGCAGGAACAACCAGGTCCAGGGTTCCAGGAATCCACAAAGTTCAGGCAGAAACATTCAGAATGAAACAGGCAAGCTCAGTAGTTGAGAGGCAGAACAGGGCAGGATATCTGGAAAACTACAGTATGTTAAAACTAGCTCCTCCACAGAGTCAGAACAGGAACAGGTCATGCTCAGTAGCTATGATCAGGAAAACTCTCACCAGTAGCCTCTGAGAACATAAACTGAGGCAATGGGGCGAGCTTCAGCACTCCTGTGCGTGACCACCTGGTCATGCTTCTGGTCCCTGTCAGACTCTGAACCCTCCTGGGAGCCTGTGGATGCCTGGAAGTCTGGATCCTGCCACCTGTTTCTGTTCCTGCCTGATCTGGATCCGGTTCGGTCTGTTCCTGCCTGATCTGGATCCCTGATCAGGATCAGCTTCCTGCAACTCCTCCGGAGCTGCAGCATCGGGGACACTCTGGGTGACGGGAGCTGCGTCAGCTGTCAGCCCATCGGCTGGATTGCACCCCTCTCAAGGGGTCTGGACTGAACTGCTAAACCGGGTAAGTGACTCACTGAGAACATTTTCTTCAGTCAGATGATCATGTCTGAGATTGGGCGGTGCCCCGCCCCCCCTCCTGCAGTGTCCGTGAGCCTCAGCTCCACCTCAGTTTTTGTTTTATTTTAATAAACTTTATGAACTTTCCTACTGACTGTCTCTCCTTGAATACTGGGTCCATCTGTCCTCGTTTCATGACACCGATAGCTGGGACTGAGCCTCATAAAAAGCAGCAGGAGCAGGTGGATCAGATGAATGATAATTGGTAGCCCAGCAGAGTTAGACAGGTGAATGAAATGTGCAAAGCCCCCAGAACAAGGATCAAGACAGTTTTTAGCCTGGTTTGTTTTTTTGTTGTTGTTTTTTTCAGTTTCCATTCACATATTGATCATGAGTGTTATGAAAAGTGCTTATAACTAAAAGTTAGCATTTGTAATTACAGTAAAACATTCAAGGTTTTGTTTAGTGTTTCAATTGTATTAACTGGTAGTGGAGGTATGTTTGACTGGGATTAAACTAAAATGTTTGTATTTATGGTTCTAGTAACACACCCCCCCACGCCCCACATGGTCATAAGAAAATAATCAGCCCATGCAACATCAGATGCAAACATCTCTGGGTGGCTGTTCAAAAATAACAGAAGTTTTGCATTGCAGTCCATTACAATCCCAGCTGTAGGATCATGGCATCTCAGCACAGAGACTAATGAAACAAATCTGACATCAGACCATGTCTGCCAGTCATCAATAGGAAGCTGAAACAGAAACCACCCATACAGCAGAACAGAAGACCTCACCTGTTCAGCCAGGCCAACTATTCCCTCTAACGACCCCCCTTTCAGAGACATAGACAGGTATGGGGCATTGCAGGCTAACAAAGAAGCCAAACGACCCCCATTCCAAAGGGGGGGACCCGTTCATCCGTTTCTATTTGCATGTTTTCTAAACTAAAACCAGGCTTTGTTGGGCTGCTGGATAAAACCTGGAACTAAACGCTATTTCTGACATTTTGGATTGAAAAATCTTCCTGGATGGAAGAGAAACGTCTTCAGACTTGGAAACAAAGTCCAGAGGATTGATTTTATTTTTTTTACTTTTGTGGAAAACCATCCACCGCCCACAGGTCATGCTGTCCTGGGTTCTGGTCCAAGAAAAGCAACAGTGTTTTTTTTTTATTATTATTGTAGGCCTACTTATATACAGTGTTTTTTTTTATAACAGAAGGGACACGATTTTAAATAAAGTCTAAAGCTGATCACAAAGATGAAGATATGAATTAAACATGATGAGCAGAGCTGGAGACTTTACGCAGCTGCAAAAGTCACTCTCCCATTTTGTCCTCTAAGTCAGAGCACGGAGAGAGAAGGAGGGAGGAGAAGGAGGGAGGAGAGGGAGGGAGGAGAGGGAGGCAGGGAGGGAGTGTAGTGAGAGTCTCGGACTGGTTAGCCTACCTATCCACTAGGAGGAGAGGAGAGGCAGCAGAGCAGCAGCCAAACAATAAACAGCTACTACTACAAACCAGCGGCGGAGTTCACGGCGCAAGAAATAAGAATAAAATCAGGACTAATATCAGCAGATAAGTGAGAGAAAACGCCATTGCCTTCGGTGGGGAGTGAAGTCACACAGCCATGTATCTGAACAGGGAAGAAGATCCCAGCAAAGGTAAGGAGATCCTGTCAGCAACTGCTGGTGTGTTCAGCAATCAGTCTGACACTTTGAAGGTGTTTCATCTGTGAAGGCGCCTCCTCTGCTGGAGGTGACTCCTAACAAGGTGTCCTCCTCTCTCCTGCACGGACAGCGCATGGTGCTGAAAAGTGTGGGCTGTCATTATGTAATATCCATTCCGTTAATTGCCTCCTTGGAGGATGCTTATCTGTAACACGGATCCCGCTTCTCGCTTCTTTTCTAAACCAATCCATGGTGAACGCGCTCCTAAGCGCTTCCACTCGGCTCGTGCGCGAATGTTCAAGTGTGCACAGTTTGAATTGGTCATTCTGTGGACATTTAGGGCAGCATACCCCAAGGTCAAAGCCTGGAGCTGCAAAGAAGGAAACCTATTGGTCTAAATAGGTGATTATCTTCCGCGCTCTGCAGCATCTTGGATAAAATAAAAAGAGGCATCTTTCTGCTTATAGGGAGAAAACACTGCCGCATTGAGAGGAGAAAGGAGGAATATTCCTCCTAATATCTCCCACGTGTTTTTGAGGCGTGATTCCCCCCCTCTCCCCACGGATGCTCATAACGCACTCCTCTCTCCGCTGCTGCTTCCCCCCCTCCCAGCAGAAATAACTCTCCCGGTCTGGGAGGTGATGCTAATTACCACCTAAATCTTCAGGTTGTACAAGAATAACACCTGCTGCTCCTGGGGACCGGTACAGGAGGAGGTGAAGGAGGTGAGGCTGGTGCAAGAGGTGGAGTAGGAGGAGCCCTATTTTGTTCAGGTCCCCCCTCCTGATGTGAAACGTGATCAACTCGCATATGGACCACAACACTGCATGGCTGAGAGAGGGAAGCAGCAGCAGATGCTGCTGCTGATGCTGCTGATGCTGCTGATGGTGGTTGGAGACCTAAAGCAGTAAAAATCTCTGGAGAGAAAGAAATAAGAACAAAAAACACGAGTTTACGGTCACTTCTATGTTATAAACATCCTGTCTTCTGTCCTATCAGTATATCAAGCATTAAAGCCGTAGGGAAATCAAATTTAAATGTCAAATCATTCTGACTTAAACATGTATATTAATGTACTCTTTATCAGACCATATTGTTCCAAAATGTAGAAAATTAAAATCTGTGTTTTTTCCGTTATCTTCTGCAGGCCAGTTAGTTCTACGTCAGCCTGAACACCTAAAGTCGGCCAATCATATATCAGCGGTCATCTGTCAATCAAATGTTTTCAGTCATAGCATCTTGATTCATGTGTCGCAGCTAATATACGCAACGGTTGAAACCAGAATCCTTTCCTTTCCCAGTGAGTTGCGTCCCAGTGTTCACGGGGATGGACGTCTGTGTCTTCGGCAGGCGTAGAGCTAACACTAAGTTGCTAACTGGTTAGCTAGATGCTTCCGACAAACTGGCCACAATCAAACTGGCGAACCTTCCGCCACAACAATCCCAGCAGCCGGGAAACACTCGGGAGAATTCGGAAATTCAACCGGTGGAACAGCCGCTTCCCTACGACTTTAATCCTTGGCGGCAAAAACTCCACAAGCTTTCAGATGGATTACTCTCCACATGGACATGACCGCTGCAGACATGTTGGCCGTCCATTCATGATGCTTTGGCCGTTGCGTCACATCCCAGTGGTTATCGTTGATATCAGGATCTGAACTGACCTTCAAAATGAAACTTTGAGATGTTTGAGCTTTGACACAGTGAATCATTCATCCTGCTGGAGGTAGTGATCGAAAAATATGCTACAATAGGAAGGATATGGAGATTTTAATGTGGTGTTTTAATATTTTCATGGGATCCTGAAAGAACTGCAGTTCTTTGAACTTAATGCTATTAGCTCCTTCTACATTACTGGCAGCTTGATCCAAACCCTCAGCATCTCCTGAAGTCGAATATTATTGTTTTGAAGCAGACTGTTGTCCGTTCTAAGGCCCTCTAGCTCTTCCACTTCCGCTGCCTTTCATGATTCATCATTCTCATGAATGACTTTCTTTACTGAGGAACTAAGTTCATGAGATTAGCTTATTTGTTGTTGAAGGATTTAAAAAATTAAACAAACGTAGGAGTTTTCAGTTTTAGGAGGTATGAACTTTCCCAGCATGTTCCCTTTGGATTAAAGAAAAACGCTCTGCTTTTGATCATTAACTGCTTAATTAGTCCATCCATCCATTTTCCTTCATGCTTTATCCCAGCTGGGGTGGTGAGGGCTGCTGGTGCCCATCTAGAGCTGCCTACGGGTGAGAGGCGGGGTCCAGTCCATGGCGGGGAGACAGACAACCATTCACACTCACACCTAAGGAGGATTTAGAGAAGCCAATTAACCTAACAGTCCCATTTTGAATTGTGGGAGGAAGCTGGAGTACCTGAAGAGAACCCATGCATGCTGGGAGAACATGCAAATATGGAGTTAGCATGTTCTCCCTGAGCATGCGTGGGTTTTCTCCGGGTACTCCAGCTTCCTCCCACAATTCAAAACATGACTGTCAGGGAGAACATGCAAAAAATGTTCTCCCTGAGAATATGCAAGGACCCCTGGAATCGAACCCGGAACCTTCTTGCTGTAAGGCACCCTTGCGACCCACTGAGCAGCCCAGTTAATCACCTGATCATTTTTTTTCATTGATCTTTTTATCTCTTGCCTCTTGCTGTTCCAAGCTGTTCTGATCCTGCAGTTAATTCTCGGCTGATTTAACATGAATGTTGTTCTGGCTATAGCTCGGCAATAAACCAGATATTTACCGTTACTGGCAGTCACTACGATAACTATCGATAGTTTTCTCATGTCGGTAAAAGAAATAATCGTAACTCTGCTGTTTTTCCTGTGTGTGAGGGACCTAAAGGCAGCGCTATGGGGATCCGCCTCACGGTGGGGCCCCTGGCAGCCATTAGAACGCGCCAAAGGCGGCGTTCTGCGGCATGCATGGCATCAGCAAATCCTTCCCCGCACAGTCTGTACTGAAACTGGAATTTCGATTACAATGTAAATTGGAGTTGGCAATAAAGAAATTGATTGATTAATTGATTGATTGATTGAATGATTGATTGACACGGCAGCTTGGGCGTAATCACATGACTCCACCGATCCAATCAGAAGCCTAAACAAAGAGTACGGCGAATGACCCCAGTGAAAAAGCCGCTAACAAAACTGTAAAGATTACATCAGCAGTGGCTGCTGATGACATCACATCCTGTGGAACTGAGCGAGAGCAGAGATGAAGCCAAGCGCAGAGAAGAAGTGGAGAGCGCGTTGTCAGAGTTGGGCGTGCAGCAGACGGGTTTTAAACCAGGGCGTGTGAGTTTAAACCGTGCACATTGTTCTCACTGCATGCTCAGATCGGCACCAAAACTACACCATAGATGTTGATCAAAAGAACAGGAAATGAAAAGTTAGTCTGAAAACGTGGCGACTTCCCAAAGTAGCGCATCCGACCTCCACCACCTGCAGCTCCGCCGCGCTGTGGAGCTCAAAGATCTGCAAAAGGCTCCATTACCTTTGAGCAGAAATGTTTTTCTCCTGTTTAATGAGACATTGTTGAATGTTTAAACCTGAATGGCTACAAGACTTTAATATTTAATTGAAAGTTATTCTGTAATGTGATTTATTCAATAAATACATAATAAATGGGTCGGTTGCATTTCCTGCACATGCCTTTATTTCTGATAGAGGAGGCGGAGCTTTTATCCTTATGGAGGTAAAACTTTATGGTGAAATTGATTTGAGGTCATATCAGCCCTAAACTCGGCTCTACTTTTAAGATCATTCTGACATCATGATTCAAACGACCACAAAGACTGTATAGACCATTTAAACCAGTGATAAAGTTTGAACATTTTGTCTTAAATTAAAATCTTAACATATTAAGTTATTCCTTATATCCGTGTTCTTTCAGGAGACTGAACTTTAACCTTTGTCTTGTTGACCTGAGAGGTCTACCTGGAGAGCCTGAAGATAAATACATCCAGAGTTTTTCAATGAGCATTTGATCGTGATGTTCATATTTTCTTCAGTAAATTATGAGGTTTATTCACATATTGTTTCACGCAGAGTAAATTATTCAATGAAGCTGGAGACAAAAGCCTCTTTTTGATTGACACGTTCACAGAGTACTCCATAGATGAGTGGGTTACATTACAATAGCTGGATCCTTTACTCCGTTTTTAGAGAACTGAGTTATTTTCACCTCATCAGACGATCTTCACTGGTTTAAACTGGTGGATTTTCAGCTGAAGCCAACTGCAGTGTTTTTTTGTCTCTATAAATCCTCTTTCCCACTGGATTTAGTGGGTTGATGGTTTTTTTTCAAACACGGGTCGATCCGCTAACAACCAGCATTTGGGACGCTTCCCACTGTGTCTGTCCCCCTACTGGCAAACTGCAGGGCCTCTGTCCCGCCCGCGCTGCATGTTGGGGGGGTCGTCACACTGGGTTTAACATTGATGATGTCACCGGTGCAACAGAAACCAGGAACGTAAGGCCCAATCCCCCCGGAGCCGGGCTGTTTGAAGGAGATTTTAACGCGGGACGCATGCCGAGTCCCCGGGTCAATCAGCTGGTTCGGGTTCCACTGCCATTAAAATCTGATATTTTGCAGGTTAAACATGTTTTTCAGCCAAGAGGTTTGATAGTTGACTTCTATGTTTTAGTAATTACTGTAATTTTTACCTCAAGCTCTTGGCTCTTGCTTGTGTAAAAGTGAGCATACTGGAAATGCTAACATCATTAAATTAGCCTTATTGATGAATTCAAAAATCTAACTCAAGCTTTTGACCAAAGTACTCTGAGAGTCCTTCCTTATGTGTAGACATGGAAAGTGTAGAAGGCGAGTACGGACTCGTGTTCTCACCAAGTCTGTTCCTGAGAAGAACCCAGGAAAGTCTGGACTCTGGGAGAACAGGAGCACGCAGGATTAATCTGGGTCAACTGGAACAGACGCGTACTGATGACATCACCACATTCAAAGCTCGTCTGGAGCTGCATTCACCTCCTGCTA